TAGTGTCAACGTTACACCGTTTAATGCAGAATACTCAAATATTTACATTCAACAAATGTATTTACATTTTTCGAAAATTTTCTTATGATATTTATTTTCTTATTTAAACAAATGCAATATAAATAAAGCTTATAAAAAAACTAGAACTGGTGTCGCTTGCTTTGGCCAAGAAAATGGGTAAAGTGGGGAAACTATTGAAATTTATATATGGTGGTTGAATCCGTTTTTTCTTCCCCCTTTAATTATTATATAATTACCGTGAGGAATACAAACAACAAATATTCAATGATAAACTATTTCCATTACAAAATCTCTTAATAATTAATGAGAAAAATATAAATCGATGTACACTTAGAAATATGAAAATAAAGTGTTAGTATTATCAGATAATTCGAACAAATCGTTAATATTTTTGATAAAAATAGTAACAGAGATATAGCAAATAGATTTAATTGCAAAACAAAAATTTTAAAAAGTAAATTTGGTTTAGTTTTTGCTTTTTTGATAAGAAAAACGTTACGTGCACCTCTCTTATTCCAAGCGATGCCTTATGCAACCGGCGATCAATTGTCAATATTAGATATGCCATTGGAAACCTTTGCAATTGCAAACGCTGCACCGGCAATATCGCAAGTAATTGATAAAGCGATTATACCTTTTGAAGGGATGCAAAAAGGGTAAACAGTAGAGCAAACACAAACCGAAGAACGGTGACGCTTTAAATCTGGGAATAAATAAAATATATTTTAATTCGAAAAAAAAATGTTTGCGGAAAAAGAAGAGTAGAAAAAGTGAATAGGATAGAGTATCAGAACAGCAAAGGACTATAGTACCGACAAAAAAAAAAAAACAGTTAAGATGACCGATAGTCCTCTGAACCGGTGGCGGCTGTAGTTTTAATTAAAGGCTATTTTCATTCAACGGAGCCATCGGTGAGCAGCGCCGTCAGCTGCCTTGCTTTTTCATGACTTGACTTTAGGCAGTAAATGAATTTTCCAGAAAACCTAATGAGCACTAAACAGCGTTGCATTTGCCAAACATTTCTCTTTCTGATTAATACCACAACGACATCATTTTTATAATCATACTCAAGCAATTTACGCTTGCATAACAGATCGGTTCTCGTTTTAATAAATGGAATACACACGCAATACACGTTAGAGTTAGGTATAGCGATGAGCGATAACTTACATAAAATATTTTTTCCTCCCTTCAAATATGTGATAATCATGAAATTTTAAAAAGAAGCCAGCTATGTTCCCCTATTTTTGTGTCTATTGTAAGCATCTGTAACGCCATTAGGGCCAATATTAAATCCCTAAGCACCTCCAGTCCATGAATTTGTTGCTGCAAGCAGAAAGATCATATTTATAAAGGATCTGAGATACTGTATTGCTGTGCTACTACTTACGCAGGTAATACGAATAAAAACAACTCTGAGCTAAAGCAAATATAATTCGGAAGTTTACCAAAAATAAAAAAGCATAAACATACTCAAAGCGATAATAACTGTAATAATATCTTTAGCTTTTCTTTTTTTTTTTTTTTTTTTTTTTTCAAAATGCTCTCAACAGATTAAGGTAAGGATGTAAAATACGTAAAGAAAAATGATGTGCCATTCTATATTTTAACTAACCTTCGTAAAGGCATCGAGTAGGAGTTTAATAGCGTTTAATATCACATATGCAAACACATAAACATTATAATTAGAAGTTGAGTTGAAAAGCTTTAAAATGCGAATCCATAAACATCCGCCCCTGATGATCAGATGATATTTTAATATATAATATATTCGCATTCATCAGTTACCGTAATGTCGTGTAGATGTCATTTGATGCGATGCTTCATCGTACACTTCATAACGTGCACGGGTAATAATGTATTGGAGCGATGGTAATGCGATACCGTACAATATGAAAAAGAATTGATTATAAAATCATACGAGAATGCATCAGATCGAAAGGAAAGCTCTTTTAAAAAAGGCCTCAAGTGTTCATCAAAATTACTATTAAAGAAACCTTGCTGCCGAATTTATTACAAATACATTGTATACCTTCATCTAAAATTTCATATCATTTTGTTAATCAGTTTAGTTTATATTGCAAATGATTCATTCATTCTCTTTTCCTTTTGCCTTTTCTACCAAACTTTTTAGACGATGGTTAAGAGGCAGAAGTTTAACAAAAAACAAACAGACAATTTTTTTTTTTTGTCTTTTTTCGCAAAAATTTGAAATAATATGCCATCATTCCTGATTGCCATACACATGAGCACCCTCTTGACTAAACTACACATTAAACGCAGAATACAATCAGTTAAAAGATCATTAAGAGAAATGAAAGTCAGACACAAGTTGAAAAAGTAAAATTTTGTACGAAAAAGTAGACGTAACAAGAAAAAAAAAAAAAAGGGAAAAAAAGAACAAACAAAAAAGATGAAAAATATTTACGCTGCACATAAATAACAAACACAAATCATCAAAAGAAAAAAAGGAAAAGTCATGACGATGATGACGAGATTGAGGAACCGAAACTGAAAAATCAAAAGATAGACGAATTCTCGATACCTCTCAATATCGGTTATGCAAATGTTATATCATAAATGTAAGATCAAAGTTTCAATCAATGTTAAAAAGCGCAAATCTTTGCAAGCCTCAAACATCTCTTACGTCTCGCTACGCCTTCAAATTGGAGAAATTTTTGCTTTAAATCTCATACGTGATTTGACTAAACTTTGTCTTACTGTTGTGATACATCTTTTCATTCATTCTGTTTTCTCTACAGATTTTATGGCATGGGTTTAACGTGGGTTCCTGCCTGAAAGGCAGGTAATTCAACACAAGCTTCAATTCGTTGCAAAACTATGCCGTCTACCGTCTAACAAAATCTTTTGGCTGACTGTAAGCCGAGTTAAACGATGTTAGAAATTACCGATAAGACTCGGGAAGAGAGACATGTTATAAAGATTTCTCCTCTCGTCATAGAAGAAAGTAGAAGTAAATAACACAAAAATTACAGATAATTGCAAATGATTAACGGCGCGGCCGTAATAAGCTGTAAAGAGCTTTCATTCTTGGCAAAATCCTTCAAATTAAAATGTCATCTTTATTTTAAATATAAATTCTTGGTGTGACGATACGAATGATCACAACTTACCTCATAGGTAAATATTTTTGTCTTTTTATACCTACCATGAAAGGTAAATATATATGTTCTCCGTATGTATTATGTAAAATTATGATCCGATTTAATTCGGTGTGTCGGTTTGTCTCTCCGTCTGGCAGTCTGCATATCAATCAGACAATTTAAAATGGATAGCCATTTAGAACTTGAAACAAATCGCTTATGAAAGTGTTTTGAAAAATTAGCCCAAAAATGGTCATGACCGGGCGAAAGGTACGCTTACAATGCCATAAAACTTTAACTTACAACTTATTGCAGACATTGAAATAAAATACATGATAAAGATATTTTTGATGGGTATTTAGAAGGGCGTGGCGAAAAACCTTCAATTGATTTGCAATTGACACAAGTTTTATTCTAATTTTTACTTACTGCCTGTAGAGAGCTCCAACATGAATACAATTTTCTTATTTTCGAATTGAATTTGATTAACGGAAATGTGCACATATGTCGGGGAAAGAGAGAAAAGCACGGCACAAAGAAAGAGCGAGATAGAGACGAGCGCAATGTCGCATTCAATTCAATTTTGGTTTCCTGGCCCCATCCTCGCCTATCTGTAATCATGATCACAACTGATCATTGATTTATACGATACGATTAAAAAAGAATATTAATATCGATCATGGATTAATTAAACCCGGTCGCCTTTTTCCTTCCTTTTCTTTTCTTTTCCAATGTTCTCCACTCACACACTTTAAGAATGAATCTAATTTAAATTTCTTTAAGAGCATATTAGTAGAGTTGTCTCCGCTATTGGTGAGATTCATGAAGAAATCTGCACATTACGTTTCATGTAAAATGCTCTCTGTCCAATCACAAGCATTTAATTTTGAATGGATGCTAATCTAATTTCAGCTCGAAAGTATTATTATTATTATTATAATTTTAGACTAATGAAATAAATTCTTAGACTAAAAAAAAAAAGGCATTGAGCACTAGCAGCACAGGCTATCGGCTCTAATTTAAATAAATGTACATTAGATAATGAGCTTAGTAGTATTAATAAAGTAATATATAGAATTGATTTTCGGTTCTGAAGCTGATTTTAGAATGTCCAAAGGGTTAGCCGTTCCAAATGCAATACTTCTAGCCAAGGAAAAGTTAAGGCAGTCGCAGTGAATGTGCTTTATAGTGAGAGTTTGTCCACAACTGCAGATTGGGGAGGAGGATGTCTTCAAGATCCATTGGTGAGTTGCAATTGTATGACCAAGGCGAATTCTCGAAAATGTTTGGATCTTGGTTTTCTCAACATTTGTTGGATATAAAGGTGCAGTTAATTGAGGGTTAATGGAAGAGTAGTTTCTGCAATTTTCTCTTTAACTTTTCTTCGAATGTATCTTTGAAGATCCAACTTTTCCATGACATCATCCATAATTAGAGGAGCAGACGCAGCATACTTTGCCGCTCGATCAGCCGGCTCGTTTCCCAATAAACCGATGTGACTTGGTATCCATAACATTTTAATGGAATGGCTAAATAATTTCATATTTTTCTTCCTCTTTTTTTTTTTCTTTTTTGCTGTAGGAGTTTGTGAGATTTTGACCTTGAAAGCGTTTGTTATTTTATTATGTATCAAATAATCAAACATCAGCTATGAAGTTTTAATGCGCTTAACTAAAGTATGAAAGAAGGACACATGAACAGAGCGAGAGAGAGAGCGAGAGAGAGAGAGAGACGAAAAGTCAAACTAAAAATTTAAAAAAAAATGCATAATTTTTGACAGACAATACATAGATATTGTAAATCGCTTGGTCGGTTTAATATACCTTGACAATGGTATATGGTATATGGAAAAGACTTGAGCCTTAGCAAAAAAAAAAAAAAAAAGAGAACAACGAAACGAATGTTTTCATAAAATTCTACACCAATATGTAATGGGCTGTTCGCTCTTTTGTATAAGCAATGTGCGTAGGTATGCGGTTAAGTTGTTGCTTCTTGAGCAATTTAAGACTGGGAAAATTTTAAATAAATACCACTTTTCTTTTCAAAATGTTTTTCATCCTTTCTCTCTCTTCCTTCGTTTGCCACATACCAAATCAACGCAGCAAGGCAATCATACAACATAGGAAGGAAATTGGATGAATCTGAGTAAAAGCTTAAAAATGAAAAGCAGCTAAACAGTTGAAGGATGCAATAGGGTTTCAACGACACTAGTGACTAATTTAAGATTACTTGCCTAGGTGCCTGCTTTGCCTAACTCCTTGCTTAGCTGCCGGCTTCGTTAGCTTTAGTTGTCTGCTCATCGGCCTGCCAAGCCAGCCTTGCTGACAAGTGACGAAAATTCAACAAAAGCTCCATGTGTTGACGTTCTTACCGAAGTGTTGAGACAGTTCAGCAAGCGTTCGTTGTTCCATCCTAAAGCAAAGTTCAAAGTGTGAACAGAAGAAAAACAAAAAAAAAAAAAAAACGTACAATTCTGCTTTTAGCTTAGCGAAGGGTACGCGGTGAACATGTACACGTACATGATTTTTACCCTCATCAGAGAGCATTATAATGCAAAAAAAAATAAATAAATAAATGAATAAAAAAAAAATTACGAAAATAAAAAAAAAATAATGAAAATGAAAAAAAAAAAAACGAGAAACAGAAAATAATGTACAAACACGACAACAGCTAAAGATGAATGTGTCATGATTGTACAGCGTTGCAGCAGTATTTACGTTTATGCATTGCTGTGCTTTTGTGAGAACGAATATCACATCGTATCATGACTGTGACACGCCATGCATGCTTGCTTGCTTGCTTGCTTGCTTGCTTGCTTGCTTGCTTGCCTGCTTGCTTGCTTACTTGCATAAATGTAAATGAATAACTGCCATAAAAGCAATGGATGAAATGACAAAATGATGATTAGATGAATTATTAATCAAGTTAAGTAATTGCTGCAACGAAGAGGCAAAAAATAAAAAAAAAAATAAACTTCCAAATCCATTTGACACAAATCAGTAACAAACCAATCACGAGAAACATATCGCATTAGCAGATGCGTTCATTTTCAATTTCCTTAAAGTTTTAGGTTTGTTGTTCAATTTCCTATAGGGAATGAGAAAAAATTGTTTTCAAATTTTTTGTAATTGTCGTGCTAACGACACATTTATTAGCGAAATCCAACCGTCCGAAACTGTCGTTGACTGTATAATCTAAGGGAAACGACGACAATTCACTTTTATTATAACACATTTCTAAACGTTTCAAAGCCCTCTGTTTTTTTTTTGAACTCCTCTATATTTTGAAGAGTTACGTACCTATCATAAAAACACGTCAAGTGTACGAAGTTTTGTATACATTAGGCGGAAATCGGATCTGACTGACAGACAGAGCTGACATTTTCAATTTAGTCACTATTTACATATGAAAGAAAATAAATGCATTTGCCTGTACATTGACTCCGTTGATTGCTGCTCGCTCGACTCATCAACTACGAATTTAATACTCAAGTTCAATTCGTCTTGACTTGCTTGAGCAGCGAGCTCGGCTGAAATTGCAATTATGATCTGAAAATTTTATACAATAAAAACTAGCCAGCAAAGGACGAAAGCCATCCGCTCAATACAGACATTATCGAGTATCTAATAGGTGTATCAATACGTTCCCGGCGTAACAATATACGTTGGTAACTCTATGCCTGAGTAACACGATTTTTGCTTTTTGCACTTAACACATTCGCATGTCGAATGAAGATGTGCTTAAAGTTAGTGAGCAGGGACGTCTCGTACCTCTGTACACCATGCAAAGTGCAAATTGCTGCTAATGGACTTCGTGACTCTAATCCTGCTACTAATATAGATATTGTTACCTTGCAGTCTATTTTTGATGATCTAGCCTCGACAGTCGAGAAGTCCCTAAAGGTGTCATATGATACTATCTTGGCTGACCTGAAGAATGAACTTTTTTCATTAATCTTTATGATTAACCATAATACATGCCCCGTTGCAGGTAATAGCTCCTTAATAGATCTCCCTGACCGCTAGTCCCATGTTCATCTGAACATCTATCTCCTTGCAGACATGAATTGTTAATCTGATTTCATTGCTATTTCTAAAACCTGGTGGAAACAATATGTTTCTAGTGGTTCTTTTTTCATATTCCTGGCTTTACTCTCTTAAGGAATGACAGATTATTAAGTTAAGACAGAGGGAATTAAGTTTAAGCTTGTGTTGCAAAGCTTCTGAACTGGATGTTGATGAATCGATTTTCCGTAATTCTACATCTATTCAATTCCATATGACTCACCGGACTACGTCCTTGTTGGACTTTTAGTTAGTGAGTGACTCTTCTATGACTCACCATGCTGATCAGGTAAAGTGCTCTTCCATATCTCATCATGCTTTACTCTTTGTTAGTCTTTATATTAATCGTAGAAATTCCACACCATTCGTTCAGTGTAGGCATTTCAAAAATATTGACTGTGTGGACCTCTCTTCCTGTATAAGCGGTTTTGGCACACTCTCTTTTTTTAGGACCTCGAATATTGACTTACAGTGGTGACTCTTAAGTTCTCTGCTAGAATCTTCGTATGCCTTTGTCCCGGCTGTTAGAAAAATATTTCCACATAGTAATCATTGTTGAGTGAAGTCAAGTCTTATTCATTTTATGATCTCCTTACGGGATTTAGCGTTGCCGTCCTTCCGAGCGGCTCTTATTTCTTATGGGGCATTTTCATTCAGGTGCATTTCTGACGTTGAACTACTAGCAGCACTGTGTAAAATTAAGTCTAAATCGGTTCGGAATCATTGAATTCCAATTTTCTTTATTAAACGCATTTTTCTCGTTCTTCGATTTTTCGTATAAACGCTATTCTGGCTCAGTCTGTGTTTGGCTCACCTTGGAAGATCGCGCGTGCTATCTCTATTCCTAAAGTTAAAACTGTTTATGCGGTGAATGACTTGAGGCATGTCTATATTCTCCCTGCTAATCCCTTGTATCTAAGCTGATTGAACACATTGTTAAAGACCAGATTGTCTCCTCTTTTCTGAATCTTATCTCACTCTTTCAATATGGTTTTCGTTGTGGGTATAACACTTCTAATTTATTGCTTAACTTGACCGATACCATTACGTGTGACGTTAACAGGGCTGACTTAGCATCTTCAGTATCCGTGGACTTAAGTAAGGCCTTTAACCCTATTAGCCATTCTGTATTAATAAATAAGTTGGAGGATTCAGAGTTTCTAGATCTGTTCGTTAATATAAATGGAATTCATTGCGATATTCTCCTTTTATTCTTTCCGCTCTGTCTTAGGCCCTCTTCTTTTCACTCCCTATATCAACGATCTTCCTGTATACATTGAAACCAATATTTTCAGGCCATTCATATTTGCGGATGATATCCCTCTTCTATTCAACACTGAGAATAGCAACTCTGATGTCCTTAGTTGATGTTATTAATTATTGGCGTTGAGTAGTACCCTACTCACCAACCCATCCAAATCTAAAACTATGTTTGTTGGTCATAATGATGCTTATCTTCCTCTTTCTGGTGGATATCCTGATTGGCGATTGCAGAATAGATATTGTTGACATTCTTAAGTGCTTGCTCCTCACGTTTGAAAAACATGCTGATGACATATAAACTAGCCCACGGTCTCCTAATCCCGTGGATCCGGTATGGCTTAGAGTTCGTTTTTGGAACTATGACTTATGTATTCTCGGTACTAAATCGTAGTGTTAACCTTAAAGAGCGTAATGTCTACAATATGACATTTCTGAATATGTCAAGCATTCCCTTAGATGCACCTTTAAGCAGTTTACCTTATGTCGTAACCTAGGTTAGTAAATATAGTCGACCTATTCAATTAGCTTCCATATTCTCCTTTACTCGACCTACCAGAAATCCACAGATTATCCTCTCCAGCTGCCTTGAGCGCTCCTTTGCAGTTCGAGTTGCACGATGCTGGAACTGCCTGCCCATTACTTTACATATATTTTCCCAATCTAATAATGCATTTCGAGTGAAATCCTTTTCTCATTTCACCACTAATGGGACCTGAGGAGACCTATCCCCCTAATGGTATATCCTAGGTCTTTAATCCCAGTGTTTCTCGACCATCATCAATTTGCTAAGTTTACAATTTATTGGTACTGTTCAAAGCCATTTCATCCTCTTGTGATTCTACTCAGTCAATACTTACTACCTTACGGCATTTTCTTAAATGCTTATGCTTTTAATCTTCGTCCTTGGGACTTTGTGTGGGGCTCGGAAGCCAAATTGCAAATTGAAAATTTTAAATTGTAATTTATATTTTGTAATTAATTGCTTTGTCTACTTTGAAGTCCCTTACGTAAGAATTTATAATATGAAATAATTTGTAATAATAGAATTATAATTTAGTCTTTATTCATTCATAAACCCTATGCTTATACTTATATTGTACTTATTATATTTATACATTCAGGTACTATAAGGCATTACACATTCATTGGCGTTTGAAAGGCTTCGCGTACTGCGCTAATTGAAATTTAATTACATAAAATATATAAAAATAGAATTGCGTTTGCTTTATAAAGCGCATCTAACACGTGTATTTCTTTAGAAATTTCGGTATGGATAACGTAGGCATTGGTAGGCATTGGTGTTTGCACGGTATAAGTTTCAATTGTTTTCAAACTGTGTGTTTAGTCTGCAATAAAGCGTACAGAGATGGATGTTAACAAGCAGCATTTCAGGAGCTGCATGTGATTCCATTTGAAATTGAAGAAATCCTCAGCTGAAGAATCATAAAAGTGTTGAAATTGACTTGGAACAAAAATGCAATAACCACGAAACGATTTAGGAAATGGTTTGCGGGATTTTATGGAGAAAATTGTAGCCTTGAATACCATAAACATTTTGGAGCCCCGTGGCAGACGTTCGACGAAGAAAGTCAAAATTTACACTAAAACGAAAATCGAGCAAAAATTCAAAAACAGCTTACTGTACAGCTAGGAATAAGCCAACAAACAATTTCACTTCCATTCCATGCAGTGGGCACGATACAAAAGAAAGGAAAATGAATGAGCTAATCGAAGAGAAGGAAAATCGTAGAAGTAACGTCTTTTCACATTTGTTATGTCGCTATAAACGGAGGGTTTAATCGTTTATAAGGTTTTTTATAAAAAAATTGATCCTATACAACAGTCTTAAGCGAAGAAAAGCATGAGCATGTCAATCCAACACAATCATCCATAGCTCGGCTGACATAAACGTAGCTAAAAAACTAAGGATCAAGAATTTGTCTTAACACGAATACAATTCCCATACTTGTCAGCTTTCTCTGGTTGTGAAGGTTAATTAAAATACCCACAAATTGATTCCCAGTATCGAATGAATGAAACGAATGCGAAATATCAAGAAGTTTGTTTCAAAGCCCGCAACTTATT